AAGGTATTGTTGATAGCAAAACCACAACACAAGTGCCATCATTCCTTTATGTATATAGTGCTTTCAATGCACAATACTAAGTGGTTTGCTGCGGCACCCTGTACAGTACCGTCACCATCTATGTGTGGATTATAGTAGCCAATGGACTCTGAACAAATAATTTTATCACAGTTCCTCTCTGTTTCAAAAGTCTGCAGGGATGATTTTTCTCCATGGCTGAGTACCACTCAACAGTTCTGGAATGCATTAGCCATAATAACCATACTTGCTAAACGAATGCTATTGTCAGCAAAGACAATTTAAAAGAATCTTGATTTTGATACTGGGCTGATTCTTCAGATGACCAAAGAAGTGTCCAGTCTTTCAAGACTGACTGATTTTTCTATTAGAAAAGTTACCTCCAGATGAAGTAATGGTAAAAAATAGAAGTATGTGAATGAAAAAATGTAAATTAAAAATCAGATCTCTAGAGAACAATGCTTCATTATTTGCCTTATGATGTGTAAATACTTTGATCCCTGATTTGTCAGATGCCACAACCAGTGAAGGGTAAGATTCCTGATGACTACTATTGTTTATCGCATCTCTCACAGGCCTAATTATCCTAAGCACTCTTTGGCATTACTGGGACATAATCAATCCATTTCCTCAACAGGATCTTCACATCAAATTAATGGGACATAATCAATCCAATTCTTCTACAGGATCTTCACGTCAAATTAATGATCACTCTCAGAGTTAGGAAGGTAAGTCAACTCTCTGAAGTTCTCTTTGAGAAAATTGACCCAAGTTGGACCGACTCCTAGGTTGGCAGGAGCAAGGTCTAGGCAGGAATTTTGGCACACAGGATTGCCTCAATATGTTGTTTTCCTCAGACCTTCAGTGGTAATTGTAGGAGATCTAGATGCTTTTATAGAGGACGAACAGATGACAGTTAGTATACCCATTCCCCCTCCTCTGACATCATACAAAGGCAAAGTTTTACTGATTGCCTCACAATTGAAAGTGCAGCCATTGGTTTTCTTCACAGGTGACCTCATCCACTACCCCTGTCAGGGAATGCTTCAGGGAAGTCTGAGGGACAGTGTTGTAGAATACTGAAGTCTATATTCATGGAGTTCCTTTGCACAGCCTGAAGTCTTTCCAGCTATTTCAAGCAGAGGATCTTATCATGGGATATTGACATTCAACCATTAGATATTATCATTCAGCATGATTTGACTTCCAAAAAGAACTAAAAGAACTGATTCTCTGACCAAATTGTTCGGAATTCAGCATCATCATCAAAGCAGCTGACGCCGATGGGGGCCGTATGGATGCATTCACCTTTCACTTCCAACCTCAGGGATCCCTCATGGCCTGTCACCTGGCAGGTTCTCAGCTCTAGCTCATCACAACAGGTCTGTTTGAGCTGCCCAAACCACGACTTCCTAGGTCTTCCCATGGGCCTCCTCCATGCAGGATTGTCTAGTAAAGAGACAACTTAATGAACAGGGTCATCCACAGGGAAACGAGCTAGGTGCCCATACAGCCTGAGTTGGTGGTCATTGATTATGCAAATAACAGGTCCCATGCTAGTTTCATGGTGTTGTTGATGGTTGGACACCTGGTCCTGCTAACCTATGATCTGGCATAAGGACCTGTTACAAAATGTATTGAGACACGACTCCAAGGCACTAGATAGTGTCCAGATTTTACTTCCATAGAGCAAAACTGGAAGTATCAAGGCCTTGAAAATATGTAAATTAGTCCTGCATAGGTACTGGCACCTCCAAATACTCTTGTAGAGTTCATGGCTCCTGCTGCTCAGCCAATCCATCTACTGACGTGGACTACACTACCAAAGTAATAAAAGCTCTCTGTGACTTCAATGTCCTTGGTCTTCGTCTAGGAGACCTCTAAGGCCAGGAGCTTTGCCTCATTGCTGAATGCATCAAGAGCCACCACCAGAGTTTCCAGAGACTCAGGATAGCAGTGTTGTTGGCAAAGTCGAGGTCTGTGACCTAGATATTGCCAAGTGTTGCTCCACACTGACTTTAGATAGTAGCTCTGCCAATTATCAATCCCATACAAGTATTGGAAAGCGTTAGTGTAAGGACACAGCCTTACTTCACTCCTGAATTAACAGGAAAGAAGCTCAACAGGCCCCCACCACACCGTACTGCACTCTCAGTACCAGAACTCATGATGGCATTCCACAGTGACCCAAAGCACTAGGATATGGTCTATTGTGGACTTGCCAGGAGTGAATTCAGACTGCTCCAGTCTTTGGTGCCTTATTAGGTGGTTGCAGATCTGTTTCAGATAAACAAGGGCGAAAACCTTGCCTGGTATACTGAGCAATGTGATACCACCGTAGTTGCTACAGTCCTAAATCCCCTTTCTCTTCCATAGAGGAGGGACTGGAGTTCAGTTTTCTCAGGGCTTGGTAGGCAAGACAAAGGTCATTTACTAGGAAATAGCCTTCTGCCCCTTTTGTAAGATTCCAGATGATCTATTCCTTATCCCTTCTCAGCTAAGTCCGAGCCCTGTGCATTAAGGAATGGCACAAATCCCGTTTTCCATTCAGACGAGCTACACAACAGGCATCTGTGGCTTCCAGTGTCTCCAGCAAGATGAAATTCTGCTTTCTCCAAGTGGGTTCACCAATGGACTCTTGCACTGCATTGAGTGTTTCATGCTTAAAGGAATCCCATAGAGCTAAAGGGTCCGTCAGGTTTTCAAGCACTGTTAACCAATCAAGAGATTGTTTTGGAAAACCTAAGTGTACACTCCTTTTCCCTCTTTTTTGGTCAGTGCCACAGAACTTGGCACTCCAGTAAACTCTGTAGTTCTGGAGGATCCTCAAGCAAATGCTGACAGTACCCACAGTACTCATATCACTATACCAAGTCCAGTTATGTGGGTTGTAGCACTGATATCAGGAGCTAGAAATCCTCAACCTCTGGGACCTAGCAAAGTCCTGGAGAAGGAGGCTGTTCTCACTACTGAAACCAGCTCCTGAGCCATGGGGACTGACAGACATCTTGTAGCCAGCTCAATCACAGCTGGATGCCGCACTGAAATCCCCCAGTATAATTTGAATGTCTCATCTGGGGCATTTGTCTGCTCCAGATGTGAGTTTGGCATAGAATGCCTCTTTCTCATTGAGTTTACAGACATTGGTAGGACACAATAAGAGGGACAAAGCCAAAAGTATGCTTCATAATAATACACTTGTCAACCAGAGAAACCTCTACTACCAATGGTTGAACTCAGTTGGTGATGGCTATGACTGAAGATGGTGACCATCGCCCAAGCCTGACCACTAATAGGTGTACCCACCCATACTAATCATGCTGCTGCCAAGTCTTCTCACTTCTGAGAGGGCAGCCACCACAACCAACTGCTTCAGTTCCCTCAATAGCAGGGGTAATCTATCATCCTGTTGTAAAGACTGGATGTTCCCATCTCCTACCCAGACACCCCACCTGAGGTTAAACCATAGGTATTTGCTCCGGGTGGATGCCACCTCTGATATTGCCCCATGTAAAGAGGGGTGGCAGGCTGTGGGGCCCAACGTCCACCTGTGGGGTTCCCTTGGGCTTTGCTCCACAGGCCTCACATTGGGTTGGCAACCAGAGCGCAGGTGGGTCAAATAATACTTGTACCCATCCTGAGCTTCAGCAGTTGCCCTGCTAATGGGATCCACAGAAAACCTCATTTGCTAGGTGGAAAGGGCAGAACCAAACTCCCCGGCATTACCATTTAAATTAGTCATTGACAGTGAGTAAATATCTGGGGGGGGGGGGGGGGGGAGTAGGGCTGGCAAGGTATTTGTTCAATGTTCTGTTAGGGTAAACTTTCATAAGCACTGATTATTCAGGTTGGTGCACTACAGTCATGAGATCGCAGTTCATGAAGATGAATATTAATCAAACAATTTAGGGATAACATAGAAAAAAATGCAAATCTATAATAAGTGTTAACTAGTTCACTTAGTATAAAACTGTCAAGCCTCCTTCACGTACATACATAAGACTTGACCCTCACAAAAAACTACTATAATTTTTGGTAATTTCCATAAAATAATGTATAATCATGTACTAGTATGAATTATATTCAACTATGGTGATAATAGTCATGAGCTGTCTAAAGTTTTCAGAAGAAAAATATATGTAAAATATGTTAACTCGTTAAACTACAACCCAGCTTCTGTAGGATCTACATGATCAGTGTCCTTAGAGAAATAATATTTATCAGAATCCATTCCGCAGATTATTTGTTTCATTATGTGACTGAATTTCCTCTATTTTACATTAATGCAACAAAAGTAAGCTATAGAGAAATCAGGTTGAAAGCATGGAAACAGCTATGTAACATTCTTCTATGGAAAAAATATGAAAAATTATATATATCTAGAACTATAAACAGGGTAAAAATAAGAGGCATATACAATGTTGTAACCTACTGTTGGTTAATGTATTAATATATATCACAAGGAAATTAAATTATTTTGTTATTTTCAATTCATTTATTTTAAAAAGGGTCACTTCCTTACCAATACAAATTTTCATTTTTTATAAATAATCTTTTAAGGGGAGTAATAACTCTCAAATGACATGAAAAAAACATAAATATACTTTATATATTTCACACATTTTAACAGCCTCTTTATAACATGTCTATTATTTAACTTATTCATAGAAAAGAAAAAAAGCAAGAGTATATATAGCATCTCTATTGCTAATATCTGAATCAAAATCTCTTAAAATTCCAATTACTTTGGCATAAAAAGTGATACATTTTGTACTTCAATGCTGAAAAAAGTATCCAAGTTAGTTTACACCTTCTCCCCCTAATTGCAGTTCCAATCATCTACCTTGTTAATGCAAAGAATCATCAACAGCCATATTATTTCCAAAACTTTTTGTTGCAGATGCCTTTCATAAGGGATAAGTTTCTCATTCAACTGCATAAGCAAGCATCCAGCTCTTGATGATACATTTAAGTTTCAGCCAACTAAACTCAGAAACTTCCACAGATTTACAATCAGTCAATGGTAAAAATTTTGACTGATATTGTTTCATGTTTGTGGCATGTATGTAAACTGCTGACCATCCACTGTTTCCATGATAACTTGGTTCTCTGTGAGCATGACCACATTCTGGTCTCCTGTACCAGGTTGAACAACTACCATATGTTGACCAGGTACTTCACTTCCATCTTCTAGTCCAGGCATTCCATCAGCTACTACCACAACATGACCCTCACCATCAGCCATTTCATATACCGAGCCTCCTGGGTCTTGAATCACCTGCAAATTTTAAGTTGGACATCAAAGATCACATATTACAGTTCATTACTGACAGCCACTTCAATATAATAAAAAAAAGAAAGTAATTCAAATACAGCATCTATCACCCTGAAAGAGCTTTGAGCCCTAACAGTGATTCTTTCCTGTCACCCCAGCCTTCAGTTAAAATGCTCACAATGGCAAGTTCATGTCACACCACCTCTCAAGCTAAAATTTTCATGACATGATGGTGATATCATTTGGATTGTGAGGGTTAATAACAATATTACCACTGTTACTACTACTACTACTAATATTGACAAATAATCCAGGCAAGATCCAAAAAGAGTGTATTACCTGTCCTTCTGAAAGATGAGCCACATGCGTATAGTGAGCATGATCTTCATCAGGCCCAGAAGTTCCAGTTACAACTTGAACACTGGTCTGGTGCTCATGACTGCCTTCATGCACTGCATCTAGCAATGCTGTTGTGGTGATGTTCTCCACACATTCAGTTGCAGCAACCTCCTCTGGACAAATCTTATGCTCTGACTGTGATGACTGGCCAGTCAACACCTTCAGGATAAATAGAAATTACATTTTATTTTACATTAGTAGACCTTAAATTATCAATGATATTAACTAAAAAATGCCAAGTTTTAAAGTCATATTAAAAATGGTGCATTCCATACAAAAGGAAAGCAAAAGATATTTTGCTTTTTCACATTTGTGATGTTGAAGTTGGAGGAAAAAGTCTGAAATTAATAACAGCTGAAAGATCCAGTAACTTTTGACATGGCAATAATATCAGCTAGGTTTGAAATCAAACTGTAATTGATGATAAAAGAATATGTTCATAGAGAAAAAAAGAAATTAAGAAGAAAAAACAATATTATAGGAAATCACTGATACCAAACATACCTGATTAATTATATCATTTGCTTTTTGCTCCCTCTCCTCCATATACCTTTCTATGTCTCTTACCACAAAGGTTGGCTTTCCATTACCATTCACCTGAAAATCATTTTTTTAAAGTAAAACTCTTAAGTAGACATAACAAGAAAACACCAATATTTATATATACATATATTATAGATAATAGTTTCTATCTTTCTTTAGTATTCTTACCTGGAAGCTGGAATTGAAATCCAATGGCCTAACTTGGCGATGGAACATGAGGTAAAATGGAGTATGTCCACTGGCAGTTACATACGTCGTGTTAATTTCATAAACCTGAAATTTAGTAAAACCACTCAGTACACTGATTTCCACTGAAAAACTAACAGCTCTGAAGCTTAAATTTCCATTGGGAAAACATCCTACATATTTTTTTTTTAGAAACAAAATTAAATACCTTTCTCTGAAGCAGATCATCCCAAAAGCTGGCAGACTCTAGACAATGGTGCAAGATGGAGGTCTTAATGCTGGCTTCATCTGGCCGGTTGATCTGAGTCTTGCTCACTGCCACCACATTACCCACCAGACCAACATCCATCTCTAGGCCCTGGTTCAGCTGATGAAAATTAAAATTACAATATAAAACTTGTCTGCATAAATTATAATAAGATTTTGTTGTAATCATTAAAAAGTTTACAAACCTCTTTGATAAAGTCTTCATTCTGATCTGATATAAATTTCCTTGGAGGGCCTTGCTGGAAGACAATGCTTTGGATTGCAGAAGTCAAGTCAGCTACTGTAGTATCCCTTAGAGGTACAGCCACAGTGTATTTGGTGAACATATCAATTATGACTGCAACAAAAACATGACCTCGGTCTGAGGTAACAAACTGACCAATAATGTCAATGCTCACCACCTGAGGATAAAAAATGAACTATTACTTTCTATCATTAATATTTAATTGTCCATGAAATAATCTTCACCCATAACTATTTACATAAAAAAGTTAAATGTCATCCATAATGTCACTTGCACTGCCTCTATGGCAACAAAATTGATTTATTACTATGCACTCCCACACAAAAAACAGTGAATTATCTATATCTTCAGGGAAATATATATATTTTCCATTAGAGCTAATCCTTTAATACATGTGCCACCTACCTCCCATGGCTCAGTTACTCTAACATATCTCTGGTTAGGTCTGTTTAATTTGTTGAACTCACAGGTCTTGCATCTAACAATCTGAAATGTGAAACATCTATTAAAAACATAATATAATTCACTTCTCAGTAATATCATGCATGGAAAAGATCTAGCCAAAGCA